GTCATTTCCTCCCTTTTTGCCTAAGTTTCACTGCCATGTTTCTGCAGCCATGTGTAGAGGCCTGCCCCTCCTTTCCTTACTGTGTGCACCCGTTGCAACCCGACATCGTAAGTCCATTTTGCGCACAGGGAAATCATTGCAGATGCATGCTCCCTTGTGACGCTCGCTGTTCTTTCACCCTAGCCTGCAACACAAGCGGTTATCGGGTAGCTGAAAATTCGGGAATGAAAATTCTGAAGTGAGAGTTTTGGGCAGTCTGAAAATCCTGAATGGTCTTGGAGTGGTGAAAGGTCCGAAGACCCTGAGTTTAGGCACGCTGCATCCTGAAGTGGTGAAGGGTGTCATAAAGTGGTCAAGTGAGAGTTTTGGACAGTCTGAAAATCCTGAATGGTCCTGAAGTGGTGAAAGGTCCAGAGACCATGAAAACCACCCTCACCACTTGAGGATGCAGCCTGCCTAAACAGGTGGTTTTCAGGGCCTTCGGAGCTTTCACCACTTCAGGACCATTCAAGATTTTCAGACCTGAATGGTCCTGAAGTGGTGAAAGCTCCGAAGACCCTCACTTGTTTAGGCAGGCTGCATCCTGAAGTGGTGAAGGGTGTCATGAAGTGGTGATGAAAAATACGACTCTTGTTAACCTTCTCTCGCATTCTCAGCTAGATGTTCCATGTCTTCATCCCCTATCTCATCCCGACTGTGCATGTCCTCTCAGTTTACAAGGAGAAATCTTCATTTATCCTTTTCCGTTCGCCCTTGTCTCTAGTGAGCACTACCTACTTTCCCTTACTTCTTCCTTGGTCCATCGTTTGATTGCTCTGTCTCTCCTTATGATGTCTCCCAATTACTGTCTCACCTTTCTTTGCAGCGTGCAAGTGGTGCTGTTATGGTGGACGGGGTGCCTGCACCTTGCACCTGATAGGCGCAGTTGGCAAGCCGTTCTACTCTTCTTTGTATTGTTCCAATTTTCCCAGATGTCATGGACATATCAAGGAAAACTCTTAGAAAATGCAGGAGGAACACCGAAGGTTCAGTTCTGAAAGATAACGGAATTTCTTTCATTTCCTTCCCCTTCCCCCCCCCCCCCTCCTCCACAAGGGCACATCTTGCTCTTTCCTATTGGTGGGGAGGTTGACCTGCCAGAAATCGGGTCTGGCGCCCTTAGCTACTAGTGGGTGGTCCAGCCTTTCAAAGAAAACGTGGGTTAGCAGGGAGCTGTGAAAGGCTGGGAATGCATGTAGGGAATTAGCTGGTTGAGCCAGGCAAATTGCACGCTGCGACGGTTAGGAGATCTTGTTAGGGCGGGGCAAAAAAGTGCATCAGGAAAATGAGACTCAGAACCGCTGGTGCTCTTAAGAAAACCATTTGGTGGACCATTCCGTAGGTATCGCATCCTTTTTTTTTTTTCAGCATCCTATTTCGACAGTATGTTTCAACCAGTTTTTTGTTGCATTCTCTGTGCCATTTCTAGAGTGCTTATACATCATTTCTTTGTGCCTTTCCTTGGTGGGCTTAAAGCATGACTTTTAACATGTCTTGTTCTCAAAACACGTCCCAAGTCTCCTGCTCACCAGAACCCTTGTAAAGAAATGCTGGGGATGAATTGATTTGAAGAAGAGGGGGGAGGGGAGGGGGGGGAGGGGGGAGGAGAGCCAGGAGGTCCTTATGCTTTTGACTCCTTGTCCAGTCTCGGGAGCATTAGTTCGGGTCCTTCTTTCACCAGCCTATCATAGATGATATATGAATGAGAAAGCCACATGTCCTTCCGCTATGGCCGAAGGACCCGTGGATGGCATTGAGTATGCCTTGACGTAGCCGCGCTCCCTTCTGTTATCGCCGGAGGACCCCTGGATGACCCCTGAATGGCATTGAGTATGCCTTACCACAGCCCACTCTTCCTTCCATTATGGCCGAAGGACCCCTGAACGACCCCTGAATGGCATCGAGTATGCCTTGACACAGCCACATTAGCTTCCATCATGCCCGAAGGACCCCTGAACGACCCCTTACTTGCATTGAACATGCTTTAAAACAGCCACGCTTCCTTCCATTATGGCCGCAGGACCCCTGAACGACCCCTGAATGGCAGTGAGTACGCGTTCTCATGGGGGATTGACCGTCAGATGCCGTTTCCTTCTCCTTAGATTCCTCTGAGTCTTAGTGTTGCAGAGGCTGTCTGATTGACCTGTAAGCCAGGGACCATCAGAAGGTGCAGACCGCTGGATAGTCTTTCTTGGCGTTGGTCGCAGTGGGCTACGGTACCGGTGGAACATGTTCTTCGACTCCTCCTCTCCTTGTTCTCTGGCTCCACCTGGCCAAGACAGTTTGTCCAGATGGGGTTCTGTTTTTCATTCCGATCTTCTGGGGGATGTTTTTCTTGTCTGCTTGTTCCCGGTTCCGAGTTGTGCTAACCATACCACTTGAGGGTGGAGCCATTCGACGTTGGTGACTTGGCTGCATGCGTGTCTGTCTCGTTGAAACTTCCGGATGCATGTCTTTTGTGACTTTTCCGGGCTTCATTTGGAAGGAGGATTTCCCCGGCCCCCAGTCGCATGCGATCTCTGCTTCCACAGAGGGTCTTTGTGGAAACCCACACTTTCTCTTTTTTTTTCTTGGATTTCTGCACCCGTCAAGGGGTATACTGCATCTTTCCTTCCAGATAGCCCAGAGAGTTGCCTTTGGAAAAAAGCAAAAAAAAACAAAGCTATATTCTTCACACAGGTATACCTCACACCACCTACCTATATGCCTAAGTATACCAGGAAGGAGCAGCCGAGGTCTACCAGGTAGAGGGAACAGCCGAGGTCTACCAAACATGTAACTAACCACCAGTGAGGAATGGCAGGGGCGAGGGCTTCTTAGAGAACCCAGGACCCTCCCAAGACCAACTTAGGGGAGGCAAGCCAACTATCTCAGCTGGTGAGCACCAAGCACGCCACAGGCGAGTCTCGGACCGTACTGCAAATTTTCAGGCTGAATGAATTGTGCTGGGATGCTAGGTCCATAGGAGGGGTTGTTCACGAAAGGGGTGTGAGAACCGATGACGCCACATGTCACTAGGCTATCCACCACTTTTAGTCCTGTTTGCATTGTTTCATTCGTGCTCGGATTTACATGCAATAATTCCCGGAGCTTTGACTTCTACGCGTCTTCGCTCTACAGTGGCTTTAAAAGCACCTTTTCCATCAATAGGTACTCCTAATGCATCAACAACACGGCCCATCATAGATCTTCCTGCAGGAACATAAAAAAAAAAAAAAAAGAAGGTAATCCCGGGTGAGAAGAGAGCAGCCGTGGCCCAGTACCCATCGGCTTCTGTACATCTGATTTGGCAGCATAAGATATCTTCCTGTACTACATCAGAGCAGCAGACTTCGGGGTGCTGAAATCTTCAAGTCGCTATCTTTCCTTCGTACATAGAGCCACTGGATCGGTGGAAAAACTCCACTTATTATCCAATTAACCGTTTGAGACCCCGAAGGCGACTTGAAATCTCTCCGTAGCATGTGCTATTTTGACAATGATCCTCCCCTAACACTTCAACCCATCTTCTCTTAGTCACCGCATCAGGGCCTTCAGTCCCAAGGAACGACTTATAGCCTAGTTTCACTGAGTAGTCCATGATGCATATTGGTTGTCTGATCCTCCATCCTTTTTCTTGTTGCCATACTTGTTCGGCTTGGTCACTCCTGTTGGAGTGTCTGGTGTTGGAATATACTTCCGCGATTTTACGCCGATCGCTCCCTCTTTCCGCAGGCGAACTGCGTTAGTTATCATAGCTTCTGGGTGTTCATGATGACTTTATGATTGGTAGGAGTTTTTATTAATAGAGAAAATTTAGGACGATTCATAGAGCTGCTCTTATCTTGACTCGCATAGAGCACTTGGGAACTATGAAGTCATGTCTGCACCTGAATGCAAACCTGCCTTCTGTACAGTTGTGAGGCCTTATCCATTCTGAGAGTGGTGTTTCTCAGTTGAGCGATATCCAAGTTAGCTTTAGTTTTTAATCTTTTATTAAAAAAAATAAAAAATTTGAAGTTCTAAAATTCATACAATGACGATGTTGAAGTATTTATTTGTTTATCATCTTGGTTGTTGCTTGTGATATGTTCTGTTCTCTTGTTTCTTTCATTTTTTTGCTCCTGCAGGTGGTGGTGTTGTTGGTGGAGTTGGGTCCAAGGTATGGCAGCTCATGCCAGGTCCACGGGGTGTATCTGCTCCTGTCCCTGGCAAGGGTGTCGGTAAAGCTATTGCGATCTCGCCATGCGGCCAGTACGTTGCTGTCCTGTATGGAAATGGCGTTTGGATTTTTAATAAATCGGGCGAGTTCAAGAAACCGTGTGGAAGCTTCAAAGGTATGGTGCGCGTTTGGTGATGGGACAAAAGAAGTGTAGAGGGAAGGGATGGTGATACCAAAGCATGGTGAGGTGTCATTGGAGGGAAAGGGGAAAGGGGGGGGGGGGAGAGAGAGAGAGAGAG